CAGTCCGGGATTGTGCGTACGGGATTCAGTCCGGGATTGTGCGTACGGGATTCAGTCCGGGATTGTGCGTACGGGATTCAGTCCGTGATTGAGTCCGCGATTGTGCGTACGGGGTTGTGCGTACGGGATTGAGTCCGGGATTGTGCGTACGGGATTGAGTCCGGGATTGCACATACGGGATTGAGTCCGTGATGGAGTCCGGGATTGTGCGTACGGGATTGTGCGTACTGGATTGAGTCCGGGATTGTGCGTACGGGATTGAGTCCGGGATTAAATCCGGGATTGTACGTACGGGATTGAGTCCGTGATTAAGTACGGGATTGAGTCCGTGATTGAGTCCGGGATTGTGCGTACGAGATTGAGTCCGGGATTGTGCGTACGGGATTGAGTCCGTGATTGAATCCGGGATTGTACGTACTGGATTGAGTCCGTGATTGAGTCCGGGATTAAGTACGGGATTGTGTGTACGGGATTGAATCCGGGATTATACGTACGGGATTGAGTCCGGGATTGAATCCTGGATTGTGCGTACGGGATTATGCGTACTGGATTGAGTCCGGGATTGTGTGTACTGGATTGAGTCCGGGATTGTGTGTACTGGATTGAGTCCGTGATTGAATCCAGGATTGTACGTACGGGATTGTACGTACGGGATTGTGCATACGGGATTGAGTACGGGATTGTGCGTACGGGATTGTGCGTACGGGATTGTGTGTACTGGATTGAGTCCGGGATTGTGTGTACGGGATTGAGTCCGTGATTGTGTGTACTGGATTGAGTCCGTGATTGAATCCAGGATTGTACGTACGGGATTGAGTACGGGATTGTGCGTACGGGATTGTGCGTACTGGATTGAGTCCGGGATTTTGCGTACGGGATTGAGTCCGGGATTGTGCTTACTGGATTGAGTCCGGGATTGTGCGTACTGGATTGAGTCCGGGATTGTGCGTACGGGATTGAGTCCGGGATTGTGCGTACGGGATTGAGTACGGGATTGTACGTACGGGATTGAGTTCGGGGTTGTGCGTACGGGATTGTGCGTACGGGATTGAGTCCGGGATTGAATCCGGGATTGAGTCCGGGATTGAGTCCGTGATTGAGTCCGGGATTGTGCGTACGGGATTGAGTCCGGGATTGAGTCCGGGATTGTGCGTACGGGATTCAGTCCATGATTGAGTCCGGGATTGTGCGTACGGGATTGAGTCCGGGATTGTGCGTACGTGGTTGAGTCCGGGATTGTACGTACGGGGTTGTGCGTACGGGATTGAGTCCGGGATTGTGCGTACCGGATTGAATCCGGGATTGTGCGTACGGGATTGAGTCCGAAATTGTACGTACGGGATTGAGTCCGGGATTGTGCATACGGGATTGTGCGTACGGGGTTGAGTCCGGGATTGTACGTACGGGATTGAGTCCGGGATTGTGCGTACGGGATTGTGCGTACTGAATTGAGTCGGGGATTGTGCCTACGGGATTGAGTCCGGGATTAAGTACGGGATTGTACGTACGGGATTGAGTCCGTGATTAAGTACGGGATTGAGTCCGTGATTGAGTCCGGGATTGTACGTACGGGATTGAGTCCGTGATTGAATCCGGGATTGTACGTACGGGATTGAGTCCGGGATTGTGCGTACAGGATTGAGTCCGGGATTGTGCGTACGGGATTGAGTCCGAGATTGAATCTGGGATTGTACGTACGGGATTGAGTCCGTGATTGAGCCCGGGATTGTTCGTACTGGATTGAGTCCGGGATTAAGTACGGGATTGTGCGTACGAGATTGTGCGTACGGGCTTGAGTCCGGGATTGTGCGTACGGGATTGAATCCGGGATTGTACGTACGGGATGTACGTGCGTGATTGAATCATGGATTGTGCGTACGGGATTGTGCGTACGGGAGGGATTGTGCGTACTGGATTGAGTCCGGGATTGTGCGTACGGGATTGAGTCCGGGATTGTGCGTACTGGATTGAGTCCGTGATTGAATCCGGGATTGTACGTACGGGATTGAGTCCGGGATTGTGCGTACGGAATTGTGCGTACGGGATTGTGCGTACTGGATTGAGTTCGGGATTGTGCGTACGGGATTGAGTCCGGGATTGTGCGTACTGGATTGAGTCCGGGATTGTGCGTACGGGATTGAGTCCGGGATTGTGCGTACTGGATTGAGTCCGGGATTGTGCGTACGGGATTGTACGTACGGGATTGAGTCCGTGATTGAATCCGGGATTGAGTCCGTGATTAAGTACGGGATTGTGCGTACGGGATTGAGTCAGTGATTGAATCCGGGATTGAGTCCGTGATTGAGTCCGGGATTAAGTACGGGATTGTGCGTACGACGTGTGTATGTTAATTTTCGTGTGGAGTTGCCTATTGTTTTCGTGTAGTGGTTAGTTGGTTATTGTGTTTGTTTTGCTGTTTGCATAGTATAGATAATATAGGTTGTTTCGATGATACAATGTGTCTTATTGTGAATGGGATTCTATTGTTAGTAAAAACTTGTATGTCACCATAAGAAGAGCATTCCTTCTCCTAATAAATCCTTTGATGGATTGGCCCTCCCCTGATGGCTTCCCTTAATGGCTTTCTTACAGTTACTCTCAACGTTTTAACGTTTTAAGCAAAATTTTACCGATTTTTAATTTTCAACTTTATTCGATGGCTAACACTATGTGCCACCTCAGTACATGCTCATTTCTCCATATAACGGTACATGTGAACTTTCAGAGCGTTTTGATTGCCCGCGTACATGTATAGTGAGCCGCGGCTGACGTCACTATGACATGATACATTACAACCAGCATTTTCACGATATTCGCTGAGCCAGTATCTATCAACATCAACCCTTCTACAGCTGTCATCTGCCAGTGAAGAAGAATACAAGCAAAATAATCTAAGTGTTCGTTTAATTTGGAGATTTGTTTTCAGATTAAATATGTTTTCGGTTTAATTATGAGGCACGTGTTTTCAGTGTGTGATTTCGGGAATCCAATATTTTTTCTTGTTCTTCCTCTAGAATTACAGTCAAGGAAGCAACCAATAAGGCAAAATATCGTTATTACCCCTGCTGGCTATCACAGTAATGTCTATGAGAGCATTTTAAAACGTATTGCTATCAGATCGCTATTCTGTGATCGTGTGACACGCTGATGAAATGTATAGCCGCAATGAATCACGCTATGAAGCTCATATGTATTTGTCTTTGGTCTGTGCCAGGTAATTACGCCATTCCGCAGCCTCATACTCTGTGCCGACAGCCGGAAAGAGATGGAGGACTGGATTGCGGCGTTACGGTCTGCAGGAAACAGAGAGTTCTATGACGTGAGTGAGAAGTCCGGGTCATGGCTATCTGCTTATCTCTCTTTCAGTTTCTCTATTGCTCTATCTATCTATCTATCTATCTATCTATCTATCTATCTATCTATCTATCTAT